GGTACCGGGAACCGAACTCACGACCTTGCGCTTGCCAGGCAGGCGCTTTTGCCACTGAGCTAAATCCCCAGCCCCCATCTCAACACTTTTACAGAGAAAAGATTTGTATAAGGAATCTAGTGTGGCTACAGGTGTTACTTAAATTATTGTCGTGATCAACAATGTTAGATGAGATAGAAAGGCTATTATTAGTGTGGGTAAAGGAAAGGCAGATGGCAAGTTATAACCTATCTGACTATAATTTGTGAAAAAGCTAGGACTATGAAGGCAGATCTCATAAAAGATAATTCACCAACATGTGATCATGGTGAAACATTTTGTGCCAGTAAAGTGTGGTTTCACAATATTAAAGTGAGAACTGGCATTCGTAGTGTGACTAAGCATGCTGAAGCAGCTAGTGCTGATAAAAGGGCTACTGAAAATTACATACACTACTTTGAAATGATGATACAGAGAAATAGATTTTGCTCTCGTCAAGTTTTCGACTATGATGAAACTGGCCTTTTCTGAAAGAAAATGCCAAGGAGAACATACATTACCAGGAAGAAAAGAATATGCCAGGCTACAAGCCTCTAAAGGATAGGCTAACTGTATCGCTACGTGTTAATGCAAGTGGTGACCTCAAGATAAAGCCTCTCTCTTGGTTTATCACTCTGAGACACTTAGAGTGTTCAGAAAACATGAAGTCATAAAGAATAGGCTATGGGTCATGTGGAGGTCTATAGCAAAAGCCTGGGTAACAGTACTTTCTCTTGCATGTATCAGGGAAGTTTTCTCTCCTAATAATAAAAAATATCTAGAAGACAAAGGTTTACCACTCAAGGCTCTCCTCATCATGGACAATGCTCCTGCTCACCCATGACACTTGGAAGAAGAATTGGCTCTCAGTCGAGTTCCTCTCACCTAATACAACTCCTCTACTGCAGCCTATGGGACGGGAAGTTACAGCTAATTTTAAGAAGCTATACACCAAGGAGCTGTTCCTAAAGTGCTTCAGGATGGTCTCAGAAACAGATTTAACTCTTAAAGAGTTCTGGAAAGAACGTTATAACATCATTTCCTGTGTGGGATTCAGAAATCCTGGGCCAATGTCTCTCTAAGGACACTGATCTGCCTGGAAGAATGTGTGACCTCAAATTATATAGGAGAGAGACTTTGAAGGCTGTGAGAGGAGACTGAGCCTTCAGTTGACCCTACGATTGATGACAGTCACTACAGCAGAGTTGTAGGCTTGCAGGTAAACAGTGCTAATGTTGAGGAACTGGTGGGGGAACACTAGGAGGAATTATAGACAGAGGAACTTCAGCAGCTTCTGGCTGAGCAACAGAAAATGGCAGCTGAAGAGCTTTCTGAAGAGGAAGGGGCTCATCACAATCAGTGCAGCAAAGTTCTTCTTCTGAAATACAGGAAATCATGAAATAAATGGACAGAGCTACAAACAGTTTTTAGAAAAGACTCACCTAGACAGAGAAAATGGCAATTGTTGCATTCACTTGCTTAATGACAATGTCATGTCGTCCTACCGAACAGTGTTAAAGGAAAGACAGAAGCAGACAATCTTAGACCAGTATTAAGGTCTGAAAATATTGAGACATAGTGAGCCAGAAGCTGGTCATAATGAACTACAGAGTCTCACAAGGAGAGAGAGGACACCAGAGAGCTACATTCCGGATATTCTTATGGAAGGGGACTCTCCTTCCAAACTGTAACCACCTTGCATTTCATCCTCCCTTCTGACAGCCGAAGATGTCAACCTGAATGGTGAGTACAGAATATAATTGTTATTTCTGATAAACTAGGCACATTTTCTACCTTTTTACATTAGGACAGTTATAGGATGTTTCTAGTAAATTATACATATTATACAAGTCTTTTTTATTATGAAAAGGTTAGTTAAGTGATGCTTTGGGAGGTTTGGAACGTAGTATGGGTATTGCAGTTATTTCTTTTGGGAAAAGTAGTCTTGACTTACAACCAACTTGGGTTATAACAAATTGAGCGTATCAGTCAAGGGTCCACTGAAATATAACAGGGAAGTGAGAGAAGAGATGGCAAGATTAACTCCAATTATTGAACTGACAGTGAAACAAAGATAGAACTATGAAGCAATCACTGATGTGGGAAAACATAACAAAACCCAGAGCAATGAAAAGCAAAAGCAGAAAGTAATACACATAGCTATACCCCCAAACATTAAAAGACCAAACCTAATCAACCCAAACAAATGATGAATAAACAAGGAAAGTAAAACAAAAAACCAAACCAAGAACACTGTACCGCATTGTGGAAATGTTTATGATGGAGACAAGTAGCCTGTGCCATTGGTTACGATGAGTATCCCAGAGCGGGTCTTCAGTGCTGCTCTCCTCAGTCATGTTCAGGAGTCTCTTGTGCTCTAGAGGCAGTGGTAGGGTATTTGTGCTGCTTTCTTCAGTGAGTCTCACCCTAGAGCTCCCAGCTGAGCTTTTCTCCCAGCTGCCGCAGCTTGTGCTACCCAGACCACCCCTTTCCACACCCAGTGTTTCCAGCTCCTATGTGCATCGCAGCTTATTCAGTCTTTCTGTAGCTCCTGGTTCCAGTGGAATCCAGGGTCAGGGAGACAACAGCCCTAGCTGGAACTGCCCAGGCCATGGTGTTCCCAGCTCCTGGCCATGCTGCAGCTCACTCAGGCCTTCTCCAGTTTGCAGCTCCTGTGGCACCTGGGCCTGGGTAAACAACAGCCCAGCAGTGCTGCCCTGGGTACCTCTCTCTGCTCCCTCAGCCCTTGTGGCTCCCACTTGTGTCTCTGGCTCATATTTCCAGTGACGCCTAGGACTGGCGTAACCTCCCTGGGAAATACCCCAGTGTTCCAGGTCCACATCCCATGGGAGGAGTGCTCAGTCCTACCTAGTCCTGAGGGTGGCGGCCTCCAGGATAGGCACTGAGCGGCAGCGATTTCCGTCCGCTTCTTCACCTGTACGTGTTTGCAAGTGTCACAAAATGACATGCCCTCGGAACTGGTGCAGAGTGATGTGCCCGGGTGAGGGGCTGCCTCACTTGTTCTTTTCACTACCCATATTCTGGATCTCACCTGGTCACTGGCTGGCTCAAATTGTATTACAGTGACCGGTCTCCCTACCCATCCAGCTGCACAACTGCTGAACTAGGTGAATAACTCAGAGCAGCCCTGGAGCGCAATTCTTTATTTTTCAGTTCATTTCTGAGTTGCTCAAGTTAATCACCGATGACAAAAATGAAAACAGTACTTTTTATTATTTACTTTACATCACACAGCGCCACGTTGTTATAAGACAATTCAACAGAAGGTCAATACTTGTAATTTGGAGTATTTTCATCGGTCATATCTGTCCTTATGATTTTCAGAAGGGAACTTCTGTTTAACCCAGTTTGGTTTGTGCCTCCTTGGGATCTTAGCGCATATGACATGACTTTCCTGATTAACAGTCATACAGGGGCTGGGGATTTAGCCCAGCGCACAGCACCTGCCTGGCAAGCAGGTCGTGAGTTCGATTCCTGGTAACAGAAAAACCAAAACCAAACCAAACCAAACCAAACAAAAACAACAACAAAAAAACAGTCATACAGATCTCTTGCTGAACTTCAGCTACAGCTGCTATGGAACGTACTATTGTGTTTTTTTTCTTGTCTGACTATTAGGGTAAATCTTATCTTTTATATAGTGTATATTTTGAGATAGATTATTCTAATCATAATTTACTAATTTGGTGAACATATATCTAGCTATTTTTATGTGATACTCATATGCACTTATGAAAATATTCAACACATTATTTTTTATAATCTAGAGTAAGTGAAAAATAATTAAAAGTATCTTGGCATGCTAAATAGCATATACAGTATATATTCTGATATATATGCACACTGATGACAGTATGCTTTCTAAATACTCTGGCCATATGTGTAGCTTTTGAAAAAATGTCATCTGGGATTAACTGAGAGTAAAGTTATGGATAATTTTTGTTCTCCCATTATAGGTTTTGAACGGAAAGAAAAAATATTCATTCAAAAAGCAAATTACATAACATTAACTCAACAGTGGTAAAATGCATAAATAAAATGGGAGAAAATGTGTCAAAATGTTAATGCTAATTGTCTATGGATTATGGATGGTTATGAAAATGTTTCCTACATCCTTAAAATTTAATGCCTGTATGAATTTTTTTTGTCTTTTTGAGACAGGGTCTCACTATGCAGTTCAGGTTGGCCTTAAGCTCACTATGTAGACCAGGCTGGTCTTGAACTCACAACCATCCTCCTGCTTCAGCCTCCTGAGTGCTGGGATTACATGTGTGCACCACCATGCCTGGCTTGATATTTTTGAAGCAGAAAAAAATAAACATCTTAATGCAATTGGATTTCACAAGATAAAACAAAAGCATAGGACTGCTGTATTTTGTTGAGTATTTTACTAGTTTGTCATTATAATGTTGGTGTCTGAAATTGTTGGTTTTCCTTTTAAATAAGGGAGGGCTGATACATTTCCAGAATCGTCTATCCCTATTGATGAAAATCATTGGTTTTCTTTCCTGTTAGAGAAAGGATTGTTGATGTGTTTCTGAAATAAGGATAATAACTACTGCTTTGCTGCACATACTAAGGGTTAAATGGAGAAGGTATGTAATTTGTGACCAGCTCTGTCTCCAAGTTAATCTCTCCCTCAAGAGCATATTATTCATTTAGCACACTTTCTTTAATTCAGTATTTCCAGCTGTGTAGTTTCATGCAGAAGGGTTCTCTGTCTTAAAAGTAATTGTAGAACTGGGTATGGTGACGCACACCTGTAATCTCAGCACTCAGAAGGTTGAGGCAGGAGGATTGCTGCAAACTGCATGCCAGCCTGGGCAACATAATGAGTTCATGGCCAGCCTGAACTACATTGTGAGACCCTATCTCAAAAAACAAAACAAAAGTTCTTGTGTTGTCTATAATATGTGATGGTTATAATATGTGAGGGTTGGTAAAGTAATAACTAACTTTATGACATTAACCTCACTATTCACGGAAGCTTACACAGTAATGGATAATATGAGGAAATGAAGCAACAGAAAGTGTATCTGTCTATATAGATATAGATATCTATATAGATATAGATAGATATCTATATCTATATAGATATAGATAGATATCTATATATATATGTCTTGCCCAAGACCACACAGCTTATAAGTTCAAAGGTCAGTGTGTATAATCTTGTGCTAGTACAACAAAACATATGACAATAAAAAAGACAATTTATAATGAACAGAAATTCATTAGCTTACAATTCAGGAGGCTGAGAAGCCAAGATCAAGATGCTGGCATATGGCTGGCGATATAGCTCAGTGGCATAAACGCCTGCCTGGCAAGTGCAAGTTCCTGAGTTCGATCCCTGGTACCGAAAAAAAAAAAAAAGATGCTGGCATCTGGGAAAGGCTTTCTTGCTTCATTCTAAGGGGAAAGTTGAAGGGCAAGAAAGCAAGAGAGGAGTTTGAGTTCAGCCTTTTACAATAGCATCCATCCCACCCATCGTGGTAGAAGCCTCATAGACTACCCACTTTGGATATCTCCCACATCTTGGTATTGTTACAGTGACAAGTAACTTCCAACATGTGTTTTGGAGGGGACAAACATTCAAACCACAGTAGCTGGGATGCAAACTCAGGTTGCCTGGCTTTGGAGTTTGCTATCTTTTCTACTGCTCTATCATTCACCTTGATAGGTTTGGCTGGTAAACCAAAAACACAAGTAGCCCAGGTAGATTCAGACAATATATTATTTACACAGACAACAAAAGCAAGATAAATATAGTGTCAACTTCCCATTTTACTAGTCACTCAGGAGGATATTCAAATAAACAAGGGCAAATGACAGGCCATAAAAGTGGTGTAGTACCCTATCGCTGACGAGCAGGGTGCAAAATGTAGCCGAACAGTTTCATAGCTTGTAGCTGTCCCCTGAGGAACTGGATATGGAGCAGTGTCCTACACTCTGTTATCTAGATATAATCTGCTAAGTGGGCAAATGAGTCAGCTCATTTGAGCAAGTGAGCAAGGGATCCAGAGAAGCAGCAATAAATTGCAAGTTTAGTTGATAAGGCTGTGAGGGAATATCCTCTCATGCTATGGCCGAGGGGCTTTGTCTCGGTTTACCGAGCACTGTGTAACATTTCAAGGAAGGATTATACAAGGCTGAGGTGTCTTTCAAAGAAAGCTTTATGTCAGGCTACTTGTGGAATCTGAATCAGAAAAAAGTCTCAATGACCATTATATAATTATATTACCTACTCTTGCAAGTTTAAAAAGATATATTGTGGCAGTCGGCTGCTAGCAAGTCACTAAAAAGATCCATGCCTTTGTCATTGCTGTGCAGTTCTGTATTAATAAGACAATTTTTCTCAATTAGCCTAACTAGTTTCTTGGGCTTCCTAAATTACATTACTGAGTATAACTGTCTTTAGAAGACTATAGAAATGATTCTGTAGCTAATGTTTTTGTGTAACAGTTTAACATAAATTTAAGAAAAAAACTATGAAAAATTATGTTTATAAATGTTGGAAAATGTCTATAATTAAGAAGTTCTGCAAGATTGCAATTTTTGTTCCAAGTAGAATGTCATCAATGAATAACTAATATAAATTGCTATAAATATTAACATTCATAAGTGGGATTTTTTTTAGAGAAACCTGGTCTAGATTTTGGTTTGCTCAAGAGCAAACCTTGTAATTAACCAAATTAGTATAGACCCCATATAGGGAATATGTTTATTGAAGCTCAAGTACAAACAAATCCCACTCCCATTTTTGAGGAGAACTAGATAAGGAGCCAGAAGACTTCTGACTCCATTATTAACTCACTGATCTGAACTACTAATTCTGTACCTTTGAGCTGAAGTGGTTTTTCACATTCTCAGAGGGATCTTTCAGACTTACTGTCTCTTAAGATTTTTATAATGTACCAAGATGCACTATCCTGTTTAAATTTTTTGGGTCGTTCTTCAGAATAGTAATATATTTACTGCACACTATCTTCTTGCTATCTGGTTGAACTGTATTTGTTTGTTACTCTATTGCTAATAGTGAAGTTAACTAAACCCGCAGTAAGAAATGTATGATTTATGCAATTCGCAAGTGAACAAACCTCAATCACTGTTTTCTGAGAGGCAGTGATGGCTGTGATAAACTAATGGACTTTAGTTCAAACAGATAATCATAGTCTGTAACGGAAATGTAAAAAGACTAGAATTGATGTGCTTTCTGTTGGATGCTCATGTTTGCCAATATTCACTCACTGAGTTTTTATCTGTAATAAATATAAAGATTAAATGCAAATCTACAAAGTGGTAGCTTTTCCTTTTAAGAAGTACCCTAAAATTCTGCCTGGCTTTATGAGTAACTGAATCTTGCAAAGGCTTTGTTGGTATTTGGACTACAGCGCATGGATTCACAATCCTGCCTTTCAGAAATGTCTTTGACAACTATAAGGCCCTGATCTTTACTTATTTTTATTCCTTTTTAATTGACAAAAAATTAAGAAGCAATTTCTGGTTTTATACTTCATTACGTCTAAGCTGGCTTTCATGTTTAATTCTTGAGCTGTATACGTTCTTAATAATTTAATATGTGAAGTATAATAAAGCTGAAAAGATTCAGACATTCTGATAGGGGAAATCAAAATTGCATTTAACTATTATCAGAGTTAATCACTAGACAGAGATTTTGAAGTGTTAATGTAAGCAATAAAATTGCTTTAGCATTTTTCTTTCAATAGATTTACTTTATGACTAGGAAGACATTGTTTTTGAATGTGTGATAGAAGAGTACTAATCTTGTGACTCAGTCAGAAGGAGGGAAAGAACAATAATAATATTGGTAAAAAATTTGTTAAGTAATATTGGTGACACTGAGAAACTGTCCACAGATCACGCGTGCTTCTAGTGCACTAAGCACATGATTTACCTGGATTATTGGTGGTCATCTTTACTTGTATG